CAATGATTCTGATAGAATAAAAAGCTTTTTTGAAGAATATAATCTATTTATTTATATTTTTTGTGTTATTTGGTAATGTAAATATATGTTTGATGTTATGTTTTTTTTTTTTGTTCTTGAAATCTTATTTAACATATGAAGAATAAAATTGTTACTAAATAGGAGTAAAAATATTTCAATGCTTTATTAAATGTAACTTTGACATAACGTTTGAAAAAATTCTTCTCAATCATTTCATCTCCGATTTCAATTTCGTCAGAGTTAAAATCAAGTTTCGGAGTTCTATATTTTACTCTAATACAAGCAAATCGTCAAATAAAAGTAATAGTATTTGAATTGATGCATAGTTTTATGTTTTGCATATCATTCAAAAGAAAAAAAAATTCTGAAATAGCTGCGAGGTTTCAAATTAAATTGGTTTGCATTTGTTTAAATTGGTTGAAAAAAGAAAAACTAAATACTGCAACCAATTACCATTGTCCACTCTCAGTTGTCATCGTAGTCGTTGGTTCTCTATTCCAAGTTGTTGCTGCTGTAGTTACAGGATCCGACGAAGATTTATTATCAATAACAAATTTTTTAGCAACACCATGTGCCAATAACATTCCACCATAGAGTAATGAAAATTTAAGTAGAACACATCCAATACCTTTGTATAAACCAGCACTTCCTTCACTTTCTTCTATTGATTTCAAACAAGACCAAAAATCTGTATAATAAATTGATGAATTAATAGGTAATACTCCAACACCAGTATCAGTATTATCAATAATAGCACGAACACCTTGTACATGAAGACGATGTACAATTGTTTCTACGGGATAAAATAATAATTGACCGAAAAATCCTGCAGCAATATGAGCAATTAATGATGCGTAAGTTGTTTCAAAAAGAAGAACATTTTCTTCTGTTTCATGATCATCATCCAATGATAACTATAATAAAAACAAATATTAAATTCAAAAATGTATTTCTTTTTTTTTTATTTTCAAAATTCTAACCTGAGCAATACGTTGTTGTTTTCTTTTTCGATAACGATCAGCTTCTTGAATTGCATTTAATGTTGGTAATATTATTTTATATAAAATTTTCTCACACATATAACGTCCTGTCATAAGACCAACAGCTGGAATAAGAATTTTCCATATAGGTAACATTTTACTACGACCAACACCAATTGATGATGAATAAGGTATAAATCGAATAAGTGTATCTCTTATACTATCAAGTAAATTACCATCAGATGCACTTACACTTTGAACTGATTCAATAAGCATTACATAATAAATTGGGGAGACAATTAAATAAGCAGCTCTATAAAGAATTAATTCAACAAAAATAATAAATTATTTCAAATAATAATAAACATACGTTCGAACAGCTACATTACGAGCAACTCGACGAATTTGTTGTGTTCGATTATGTTTACTTCTATGATAGAAAAAACAAAACAAATATTAAAATAAATAATAAAATTATTTACTTTTTGACAGGAATTAAATCTTGAAGAAAATTATCTGTTGCAACTACTAAACCATTATAAGCAAGTGAAGTAAGAACGCCTTTCCACAATGAAGACGGACCCTAAAAATAAAATTTAAATATAATTGTATCTTTCAACAAAAAAAAATTATTTTTTTTACCTGTGCTGAGATTTTAAAGAGAACAGGAAAAACACTAACTGGAGATAAATGATATTTAACAGCTTCATTATTTACCTATAACAAAAAAAAATAGTTTAATTTAAAAATTCTCAATTTATTTTTGTTTTACTTGAATTTGACGTCTAAGAACATCTAGTGGATAGAGTAGGACATGTTCTGAGAAAAGACTAAATAAAAAAGAAAACAATATTAACAAGGATTAGATCTATGACAGTTCACGATCAAAGAACTGAATTGTTCAAACAGATCAATTCTAGGCGTGTGACAGTTCACACTTCTACGAACGTGTTCTGTTTCAGAACTGGATATAGTAATCAGTTCTTTTCTTTTTTCTTGACAACCAGAACAAATACTAAATAGAATTACAACATTAACCATTATCAGTACACTGAGTACTTATGAAAAGAACTGATTACTAGATTCAGTTCTACAAAAAAAAATCAATTCGTAGAACTATGAACTGTCACAAGTCTAACAAAAATATCATATAAAGTGTATCCTGAAAGTCATCTACCAAAATAAAGTTCTCACAACTCCACGGTAGTTAAATTAAATGAAATAACATTTTTGTCTGGTAATAGAAGAGACTTGTAAATATTTACATAACATTTTTGAAAAGTCTTAATTAATTGATACATTTCTTCAAAGCAATTCATTTATTTCTCAAGAAAAACTTTAATAAGAAGTCAACTGATAAAACTAGAATGATTTTAGGATTTTCATAGTCATTAAATTTAAAATAAATGTCTCTAAATGTTCAAAAAATGTCATACGAACATTAATAAACCAAGAGAAGAAGACCTGGATGGCTAAAAGTGTAGAATAAGGAAAAACGTGAAACAGTTCATCAGAAAATTCTGTTGTTCGTCTTTCAAAACTCAATAAAAGAAATCTTTTTCGTGTATTGGATCCGAATGTAATAGTTTTCAGGAGTATTTTTAAATAAAAACTTGCAAATCTCTTCTATTATCATGGAAAAAGTCATTCGGTTTAGTTTAATTGCAGCGAAGATGTATAATATTCTGGGCACCTTGTATATATATATATATTATTTACCTGGCCATCTTAAGTCCAGCTGCATAATTACTAGCGGCTTGTTTTGAATCTTTTAAAGAAAACAAAAAAATATTTTAATGATAAAATGAAATTTTTACTTGAACTGTTTGATCGACTGACAACATCAGGATAATGAAGGCCTGCAGATGCTCGATCCATAATCAAAAATCTATAATGAATATTTCTCAGTCATTAAAACAATTTAATATCGAACTCGAAGTTCAAATTTATTGCAAGTATAATACAAAATAAAAACAAAAAAAAAGTTTATTTATTTGACGAAGACTTCGCTTCTTCTTCTTCTTCATCGTGTTCGAGTCTTTCTTCAAATTCTTCAAATTCTTTTTTTGCTGTTTTATCAACTTCATCTTCTGTCTAAAAATAAAATTTTGAGAAAAGATGATATCTTAAAAAATGACTGACTTGTTCAACTCCTTTAACTTCTGGTACATAAAATTGCAACATATTTTGAATGCCATTTTTCAATGTGACTATCGAACTTGGACATGAAGTACAAGCGCCTTGTAATTTTAATTTAACAATTCCATCAGAAAAAGACTTAAATAATTTAGGAAAGAAAAAAAGAAGAATTCATTTTTGTTCAAAAATATGTTTTATTTTATTTACCACAAAGGTAACATCACCTCCATCTTCTTGAACTGTTGGTCGTATTCTTGAATCAAGTAATTCTTTAATCATAGCTGTTGTATCATCGTCCTCAGAGGATACACCTATTAATAATTAAAAACGAAGTATTCATCTTAGTTTTTCTTTTCTTTTTAATAAATGTAACAAAAAAAACACAAATAATAAAACGCACTAGCTTACTACTTGCTGGTGGTTCAATATCGTCATTAATAACAGGTAAATTTGTTGTGAAAAAATCCATAATTGCAGCATAAATCTCTGGTTTTAATACTTGCCATTGAATATCATCATGCTCTTTTGTTATTGTTATAAAATCAAAACCCAAAAATACAGATTTAACACCTTCGACACGAAATAATTGCCTAATCAAACAAAAAAGAAAAACGTTCACTGAAAAAAAAAATCCAAAGTATTTGGTTATATACTTAGCAAGCGGAGAACAATAAGCTGATTGAATAGTAGGAAAATCTCGAGTACCAACACCTGAATCAAGCACTGGACGACCCGGTAAAAATTTAAAACTATTTGGATTTGGAGTTTCTTGAGATTGAATAAACATTGTACGACCTATTATAAGAAAAAAATCACTTTTTAAACAACTATATCGACATCTGTTAAAGGCACAAACATATTTAAAACAAAAAAAAAGTAATCTTCTAAATATTTCGAATTTATTGAGTTGATTTCATCCAACAACTTTGATTTTCTTTCGAATAATGTTCTGCAACTCTACCCGGCAACTAATGAGATCTCCATGTTTCAAAATATGCTTACTTTTTCAAGCTGCTAATTTATAATAATAAAAAAGTCTAGAATTAGAAACCTAAGCAATTTATTGTGCTTGAGAACAGGTCATAAAAGTGAAAAGCGATTTTGTTTCACTAAAAAAGATCGTTTTTTAATGAAAATTCATCTACAAATGATGGTGAATCATATGATAAAGTAACTGAATGTATGCAAAAGAAAATGAATTATCAAAAGGATGAATATGTATTATCATGATGGAAAAAGCATTTATATATGTATTCATAATTATGATGTAGAAACATAAAGATTCCAAGTAAATTCTGAATAACTTGTTTTTTTTTTGTGGAATCTGAGATGATTTCTTTATTTTTGTTGCTGTTTACGAAAGAAAACTATATAGGATACTTTTTTAAATAACGTAAAAGTTTAAAAAGTGGTACTGTGACTGTGAAAGTATCTGTCGGATGTTGACTAGCTGCGATCGGGTGCAGATATCCGGATAGAGTTACAAAAATTCGTACCCGTACATAACACTACTCTCTAGTAGATTATGAAAACAGATGTTCTAAAGTGAAAATATCCGATGTCATATCCTCTGAAATTCAATTATGTTAGAATGTTCTCGTCTAGTACAGAATAAAAAACAGAAAGATATCTTATTATATTTACGTAAAACATTCCATAGTTGAGAAGAAAAGTTTAATCGAAATGTTGATCGTAATAACATCTAAAAAAAACTGACATTGACAATTTTCAAATATAAGTCGAATGCTGTTTTCTTATTTTGAATACTTTTATTCTAGAAGATGACAGAATAAAGAAGCTACAATATGATAGTAAATTAGGAGGAGAAAAGAAAAAAAATCGAAAAAATGAAATAAGTCTTTAGACATTGCTTGTCAAAATTTCAGTATAAGCTTTAATTTTGCTTGCAATACTCATATCAATATATCGATCACCAATTTCTACAATCATTCCACCCATAATTGATGGATCAACATTTGCTTCAACACTAAGTTTTTCATCTTTTTTACTAAATTGTTTTAATACCGAATCAAGTTCACTACGTAATTTTCCATCTAATGGTTTAGCTGTTATAACACGACATAATAGTTCTCCTCGATTAGCAGACATTAAACGATTCATAACTGAAACAAATTTTGTTAATTTTTTTTCTCGTCGATTATCAATAAGTGTTTCTAATGTAATTTGTGTCATATCCGATAAACTTAATTCTTTAATTAAAGCCATACGTTGTTCACGTGTTACACCTGGATTACGAAAAAAATCGCCGATGATTTTACTTTGTGTTAAAAGACGATCTAATTTTTGAAAATCAGCATCGATTTGATCAAGTTTATTTTGTTTTGATGCTGCAGAAAATAATGCTGATGCATAACGACCTTCTATACCGAATACAGAGATTGGTGGAGTAACCAATTTTGATGTTGATTCCGATGATGATGTTGATAAATGTGATTTTTGTGTTGTTGCTTGAAAGAGGCTACCATTTGTACTAAAACAACGTCCAAGTTGACTACGAAGACCGACTAAACGATTAGCCATCATCGCTTTTTTTTCTTTATTTTTAAAAATTAAATCTAAAATATAGAAGAGAAAAAAAAACAATTCAATGTTTGGAATGTAAACGTCGAAATAATAAATAAGCAAGTCCAATCCATATTTGATAGATTTCTGATTGGTTAAAATACGTCCTCTATAATATAACGTGTTTTTCTTCTTATGTCGTATTTATCAACGCTATCGACAAGATGAATGTCGAAGAGAAAAAGTGAAAGACAAAAATGTTCCCTTTTTTTTTTTTTTCTTTCTTCGGTCTTTTTTTTTCCTGGGCGAATCTTCACTTATTTTTACACTAGGCCGGAAACAATGATCTTTTAGTCTTTTTTCTCCTTGTTCTTCTTCAATGTTCTTTCTCATTTTTTAGTTATTTGTAAAGAGCGAATATGTCGACGTCTAAACCTGTCGAGTGGGTTACAGCATTGATTGAAAGATTTGAAGATCAAGTAAATTAAAAGAAAAAAAAATATTTTTCTTTATATGAATTTAATTTTTTTTTTAGTTACCAATAAAATGTGGTGAATTGACTAATCAAATGCGTCTTAATTTAGAACAAAATAAAGAATGTTTAATTGCCTTAAGTCGTTTTAAATTTTCTCTTGTTATTAATGGACTTACAGATATTTTAAAAACGATTGATAATACTGTGAGATTTATTTTTTCAGTTATTTATATAAAATTCTTTTGTTTTTGTTTACGTAGAGATATGGAGGTTTTGATCAAGAAAAAAATATTTATGAATCATATTTAATTGTGCTTGATGCTGTTGAACAATGTTTAGCAAATGTAATTTATTTATTTTTTAATTCTTTTTATGATTTGATTGATTGTTTGTTTGTTTGTTTGTTTTCTTTTCTATTAAGACAAAAGATTTAAGCACGAGTCGGTTACATGAAGCTATTTATGTCAATAAATTATTACCTGTAGTTTGTAAAGTAAGATTTGATGTTATAATAATTCTTTAAATAATAATTCATTCATAATTGTTTAAGCTCTTAAATGTTCCCGGTGATGGCATAACAGTCCAACATGTTCGACAACTTGCTTCGAATGTTTTATTTGCATTAAGTGTTAACAATTTCAGTACTCTTTTTAGTAAAGTTGTTTCAAGGTAAATTGCAAAAAGACTTTTCTCTAGGAATGTTTTTTTAATGATATATTCATATTTAGAAAATTTTTATTTATTTTTTTTATAAAGGTAAAACAAAAATAAAAACAAAAAAAAGAAATAAAACTAAAATTTTGCTACTGATTTGTTGACTAACATAAAAATTCAAAGTCTTTATTAATTTAATGAGATTTATTTTCTTAGACTTGAATGTTTAATTGCATCTGGAGATGAAACATATGAGGCCGGTGATCTTGATCTTATTCAACATATGAATGTTGATATGCTTAAATTAACAAGACTTCTTAATGGTAAAATATTTTATTTATTAATCTAATTTATTCTATGAATACTTTATTATTATTATTTGTTTTTAACAGAGGAAGTACAAAAATGGCGGTTACTTAAAAAAATTCATCATACAGAACTTGTTAAAAGTGTCGAAAAAGTAAAAATAAAAAAAATAAAAGATAAATATAAAATAAAATAAAAATATTGTTTAGGCTATATGGAATTGGTTAGATACATATCCCGAAGAATTTACTGACCTACAAAAAAGACCGAATGCTGAATTAAGTGGTAAGTTTTATTAATTCTATTCTGTAAAATAAAAAATTTGATTTAAAAACAAAAAGATAATTGTGAAAAATTATTCGAATTCCTTGATTCATTTGGTGAAGCAAATCGTCGTAAAGTTCAATATGTTTGGCCACTTCAAATGATGTTATTAGTATTATGTCCAATAATTCTTGAAGAATTAGTTTATGCATTAGAAAAAGGTGGTCCTTGTTCAGCTGAACATTTACGTAAAAGAAATTTTGTTGATGCATTAAAACGTCAATTACATGCCCAAGTATTAGGTAAACAACATTCAGCTGGTGGAACTGAATCAGCAGCTGTTGTTACATTTGTTAAATTATGTAAAGCAGCAACATATATTAATAATAAAGATTCAAATAATGTTTTATTTGTTATGGTACAATCAGTTATTGGAGATTTAAAACAAATTTTATTTAATCCATTAAAACCATTTTCACGTGGTCAAGATAAAATTAATTTTGATTTAGAATTAATGATTGAATTTTTTCTTGCTTGTCTTAGATTAAATCCACATAATAATGAAGTTTTAAAAGTTTGTTTGAATTTATCGTCACCAGCTATGTTTCATTATGTACTTGTTAAAGCACTTTATAGAATAATAACACAAAAACGTTTAGCTTGGTGGCCACAAATTGATATTGTTTATTCACGTGCTGGAGAATTACGAAATATGTTTACAGATACATTAAATAAAGTTTCACAATCATCAACATTTTCAACAACACCATTAAGAATATCAGGTATAACAGGTGTTAGTACATTAAAAGATATATTATTTAATCCACAACAATTACGTTCACAATATTCTCAAGCATTTAAATCAAAAACATCAGATCGTTTAGCTTATGATGAAGGACCAAATAATCGTGAATTACTTTTATGGATTGTACGTTTAATAATCGTTGATCCATATTTAATGTTACATAATCCAAATAAACTTGATCATGAAACTCAAATGTCAACATTTGAATTAATAAATGGTCTTGTATCACTTGTACATGATACATCAATGATGCCAGATGTTGCTCATACAGCTATGGAATCTTTATTAGTTTTACATGAAACACGACATATTGAATTATGGAATCCTGAAGCATCAATAAATACATTTTGGTCAATATCAAGTCAAGTACTTTTTTCAATATCACAAAAATTAGTTTTACATCAAATTTATGAATATACATCTGTATTACGTTGGTTAAGAGAAATTCTTGTTTTACGTAATGCTTTTCTTTTCCATCATAAAGATAATGCATATCTTGGTTCAAATATTCCAATGGCTAAACATGCACATACAAAACTTGAAATTGTTTTTTTTATTTATTTATGGTCAATTGATCCTGAAGCTGTTAAAATTGCTATGTCATGTTTTGCTTTATTTGCATATGAAGCTGATATTCGTTTTGGTTTTGATGAAACAGCTGTATTAACACTATTACCTAATTATAATATTTATATGGAATTATCAGCAGCATCAACAACATTAGTTACCACTGGAAGAAATGCTTTACAAAAGAAAATTCTTTCGCTATTAAGACGTATTGAATTTGCAACACCTGGAAATAAACAAGCTTGGTATGATACATTTGTTAGTCAACAACATTTGGCTAAATTTTTGGCTATTTATCCAAAAAGAGTTGATGATTTGGGTAGTGGAGGATCAACAGCTAGTTCACCATCGGTTAATGCAAGTGAAACAAGTAGTTTTGTTGGAAGTGGATATGGAAAATTTGGTAAAAGACGAACTGGAGTTCATTCAAGTGAACATGATATTGAAGTTTGTTATTTAGAATAATAAAATAAAAATAAAAAACAAATAATTCTATAAATTGTTGTCTTTTTTTAAGGATGTTTTTCATGAATGGGCTAATATGACTGGATTTTTATGTGCACTTGGAAGTGTTTGGTTACCAGTGAAAAATCGACCAGGGTATGTTATTTTCTTATGAAAATATTATTGTTAATTAATATTCAAGCATTATCTGATTAAGTGATGTGGAAATCTATATGTTCTAGAATTCCTATGTCGAATTTTTTTCCTTCTTTCTATATATTTTAATAATCTTCAATAATCCAGAGACCCTATTTTATGTCAAACTGTGGTAAATATGTTATCAGTTAAATCATCCGACACATCAAGATACTAGGTTACCATATAATTTTCTAGTAAAAAATGTGAACTTATTATTTATGTGAGTTGACTTTAATACATAGATGAGCATAGGAAAAAATACACAAGGTGAGCGTTTAATGTTTAAATAAATTTTTCTTTACTATTCTTACATAATGCTTATCGTTGTTAATTATATTTGATCTTAGTTATGAGTTGTTCATGTTACAATTAAAATGAAAATTGTTGCTAAGTTTAACATTATTGGATATGAGTACGGAATTAGAAATAGAAAATAATTAAAAAGCTTGTTGGTGCAAACCCTTCGAGATTAAAATGTGTAATTCATATGTGTTTTGCAGCTACATGATACTGATATAAAATATGTTAAGTGGAAAATCTCTAGTTTACTATAGTTATTTTTCAAGGATAATCAATAACCAGAAGAACAATTTTTCTTATTTACTTCTTTATTTTGAACAGATTTTTTTTGTTGTTGTTTTTTACTAATCATTGATTTAGCTGACGAATAAACCTCTTGTACATATCCATTATATCTGCATCAGGTCGTAAAAACATTATTTTATGTCTTAAGAAGATGAGAAACACTGGTATTAATTATTTTCTTAAGTTATAACGTGATGAATTTACGTTTTTTATATCGATCATATGATGACTGTGGCAAATGAATGCATGGCTACCTATCATCTTTGATATTTTGAATATAAATTTTTATTGATACTAAAATCTAAAACTTTACTAGTCAGAACATTCACAAATATGATCCGGTGATTTAAATTTTGAGGAAAGCTTTCTAATTTTCTTGAACAGTTTAAGTTTTGTTGTTAATGCCGTTCGCCACCTTTTCCGTTACTAAGAAACATTGAGAAAGAAATCTGATGTCTGCTACCCTCGATTGCTATAGAAACAACTTAGTGATTGTTGATCTTTCTTCGTCGTCCATGTTCCTATGAAAGGAGAGGCCACAAAATCTCGAGTTAAAACTTACACTGACTATATTTTTTTTCGAAAAACATAATGTAACGGAACATGAAATCAGTGTTAATTTACAGCGGAAGAAATATTGTTAAAAAACGAAGCTTCTCTTCTTTGTCAAAACAATGAACAGTTTGATAATGTTTTATAAAAATTCTATTTATTTATTGATATTTTCTTTATTTTTATAGTCAACATGGAATTCCAGCTGATACTCGACGTACATCGATGGAACCCGTTAGTTCCGATCTTCATTATTGTCCTGTAACACAGTAAGTTTTCATTTAATAATTTCTCAATTTATTAATATAACTAAACTAATAGATTTATTGGTGATTGTTTAAAATATTTGGTTTGTCAAAATGAAAAATTTGGTTTACAAATTCAACGTCATATTCAAGATTTGCTTGGTCATGAACTTAATCCATTATGTTATCCAATATTATTTGATCAAATTAAAATACAAGTTGATAAATTTTTTGATGCTACCGGTCAAGTTATATGTTCAGAACAAAATACACAATTTATTGATAATGTTATTGTTATAATGCGTTCTGTATTTGAAATGAAAGCTCAACAAGCAGCTCAAAATTCTTTAGAAGGACCAACAACAACAACCGGTTCATCAAATACATTAGGTGTTCCAAGTAATAATGCTGGATCACCACAATCAGTTGTCGGTAGTTCATCAAATGATCCGAGTTCAAGTTCAACAAGTGGAGCTGGACGTGGTGGACCACAACAAACAAATGAAAATCCATTAGCTAATGTTAATAGTTTAGAACAACTTGTTTTAAATATTGTTCGTTATGCACGACAATTAGATACAAGTGTTGGAGCTGTAGCTATACGTATACGTGTTTGTCAACTTGTAGAATCAATGATGAAAAGACGTGATGATTTATCATTTCGACAAGAAATTAAATTTCGAAATAAACTTGTTGAATATTTAACTGATTGGATTATGGGAAATTCACATCAATTTAATCAAGTATAAATTTGACAAATAACGAAAAAACAAAATATTTTACTTTTTTTTGTTCTTTTTTTGTTCTTCTTAGGTTCATGCATTAGGTCAGTCAGCAGCTGGTGTTAATGTTGGTAGTGGTGTTAATGTAACAACATCTCAATTAGTTGTTGATCAATATCAACATTTAACACGTGAATTAGATCAAGCATCAATGGAAGCTGTTGCAACATTACTTCATTCTCTTCCATTACAACCAGAAGAAAGTGATCGAGGAGATTTAATGGAAGCTAAATCACAATTATTTCTTAAATATTTTACATTATTTATGAATTTATTAAATGATTGTGGAGATGATTTAAATGATGATCAAAGTTCATTATCAGATCATCATCAATCAAATACGGAAAGAGGAACATCAAATATGACAAGTCAAACACAACAACAACAACAACAACAACAATCACAATTAATTAATCAATTACAACAAAAACAACAATCATTAAGAAATTCAACTATTGTTGCCATGTCGAATTTACTTGCAGCAAATATTGAAAGTGGTCTTATGAGAAGTATCGGTATGTTACCACTTTTTTTTTAATAATTTTTTGTTCTATAAAATAAAAATTTGTTTAGCTTTGGGTTATCATCGTGATCCACAAACTCGAGCAGCTTTTATGGAAGTTTTAACACAGATTCTTCAACAAGGAACAGAATTTGATACATTAGCTGAAACTGTTCTTGCTGATCGATTTGAACGACTTGTTGAACTTGTTACAATGATTGGCGATAAAGGAGAATTACCTATTGCTATGGCACTTGCCAATGTTGTTTCACCTCAATATATGGTTAGTTTTCATACTCGTTTCATTTAATACATCATAACAATAATCTAATAATAATAAGCATATGAATTCTTGTTTAATAAAAAACGGAAACTTCAAAACAGAAATTTACAGTTAATATTAGATATTATATTAAAACTTAATGTTAGTTTCGATCGAAGTATATACGAATCTATTAGATTTACCAAAAAAAAATCAAATAAATGTATTTCGGTCTGAAATTTTGCCTATAACCAGATAAAATGTCCAGTGTAGAATATCCTGAGAGTTTCATTGAAAAAGAATGTTCATTAGTCAAAATATTGAATTTTTCAGTACACGATTTTTCTGGCACACGACTGTTTTTTTTTGGAAATTCACTATCTCGATAAATGAATATTCTTTTCAAATAAAACTTTCGGAATACTCTACTAGTCAATCGACCTGTTTATGGGCGAAACTTCAAACTGAAATATTCTTATTTGATTTTTTTAGTAAATACCTAAAAGTGGATCGTAAATTCAGTAAAATAGTCATAATTCGGATCTAGAGTCCCATGGACACGCACCATTTTAGAATTTTTCTAGTCTTGCCAAATCTTTCTTGTGAACTCAATATGAGCTCAAACGACACGTATCAATTTGACTAGTTTCCTTGTCAGTTAGAAAAACAGATATGTCATTTTAACTTGTGATGTCAATTCAGCTCATCTATGTCGATTTATCCTCATATAAAATTACTTTCTTCAAAATAAAACTGCTTGCTCTTAGAAATTTGACAAAACTGAAAAATGGCATAATACATTTATTACTAAGAAAGAGCCTAAAAATGAAAAAGATATTTTTGTTTTTGAGACCGCAACTAAGACAGCTAAGGTATTCATATTCGAGATATTCATTGACTTCCCTAACTGATAGAATGCCTTTGAACTCATTCTCAGAGGTACACTCAAATATGCTCCCTCGTTGGTGATGATACCAATAATTCCATCTCTTGTTGTCATTCAATTAATTAAACAATATGCACTTTATTGTTGAAAAGTAATTATAATTTGAATATAAGTTAATTGATTTAAGTTCGATAAATATTTTTAATAATAAGTTCAGAGAAAAAAAAATACGGAATATTGAGAGCTAATTGGTTGTTCATACTGATTCTATATATGATTCTATTAATATAAAAGATGAGAGAAATGTTGAATATATGAAAATAATCTTTTTTTCTCTCAGTGAAATGTATTTTTATCAAAAAAACTAATTTTAATCATTGATAATTTAAATAATTAAAATAAAAACTATAATATTTCATTTTAGGATGAATTAGCTCGTGTATTTGTAACAATATTTGATGCAAAACATTTACTTCATCAATTATTATTAAATATATTTTCAAAAGAAGTTGAAATGGCTGATTGTTATCAAACAATATTACGTGGAAATGGTTTACCAACAAAAATAATGTCATTTTGTTTTAAACTTTATGGTTCACATTATTTATATAATTTATTTGCACCAATATTAGCTAAAATGTTCATAGCTGATTTACGTTCATATGAAGTTGATCCATCACGTATTGAACAACATGAACAATTAGATGAAAATAGAAAAAATTTACGTTTATTAACACATGATGTTTTTCAAGCGATTGTTGATTCATCATCACAATTTCCAATTCAATTAAGAATTTTATGTTCATGTTTATATCAAGTTGTTCAACAACGTTTTCCACAACATCCTTTACAAGTATTTTATTTTAAATTTATTCTATAAATAATTTATTTTATTTTATTTTATTTTAGGCTGTATCAACTGTAATATTTCTTCGTTTTTTAAATCCAGCTCTTGTTCTTCCACATGAATTTGGTATTGTTGATGCTGAACCATTACCACGTATAAAACGTGGTTTAACACTTGTATCAAAAATTCTTCAAAATATAGCAAATAATTTAATATTTACAAAAGAATTCCATATGCGTTGTTTTAATGATTATCTTCGTTCAACATTTGATTCAGCAACAAATTTTGTTTTATCAATAAGTGAACCTATTAATTTAACAACAATAATTCCATCTGATGAACAACAACCAATTGAAAATAATATTTTGGATTCTACAATACCTTCACCAACATATCCAATGTCTTATATAAGTGATGCTAATGTTTTAGCATTACATAGACTTTTATGGTATCATCAAGAAAAAATTGGTGATTATTTATCCAGTGGAAGAGATCACAAAGCTATTGGACGAAGACCTTTTGATAAAATGGCGACATTATTAGCTTACTTAGGACCGCCAGATCATAGACCATTGGATTCACAATGGATTTCATATGATATGACAGCAACAAAATTTGAAGAACTTATGGCGAAAACACAAATGCATGAAAGAGAAGAATTTAAATCATTAAAAGCTCTTAATATATTTTATCAAGTTAGTTTAAGAATAAATTTATGTGATGAAAACATATTTAGATTTTGAAATGATTTCGCTCGGTCACTCAAATAATTCATATTGCTATCGGTTAAATCATGAATTTCAGAAGACTGAAAAATTTAATTTGATTCTCGAAAAGTTTGAACAAGTGAACAAGATTAGGTTTCAGTAACAAAAATTTGATTTTCGCGATTATTTTTCTTTTGTTGAAATAATAAAGGCGAGGTTGCAATCTAATGATGATCATCAGAATAGTTATTCATATCCGATTATTTTTCAGTTCAGCATTGTATCAATTTTTTTAAAGATTTCTTCGAATTAAAATCTATTGAATTCATGCATTAGGCAATTTTCGATACATATAATAAATTTAATGAAGATATTATCTAATGCTATTCGTGTTATTCGAAAAATCAAATTAGAAAAACAAAAAAAAACCTTTTTATTATATAGTTTTCGTTTAATTTTCATTATAAATGTTTGAAACCAAATCGATCGAATTCATTCGCCATTTACAGGTAGAGATATGCAGGATTATCCTATCCGACAGGAGACGATAGAATAAGGATTAAAAAATTTTTTTGAAGTCAAGGTCCACGGTACAAAAGCCTACCCTGCAATCTCAATTGATAGGCTCTATCAATCGCGTCAATACAAGTCGAAAAACATCGAATTCGATAAGCTCTACCTTTGATCTTTTTAACAAACAAAGAGGCATCGTTTCTAAGACCATATCCGAAAAAAGACATGCGCTATCGCTTGTTGTTTTTTGTCTATTATTTTAATATCCTTGTTGAATCGATTTGTTTGATTTAATTAAATTTCTTTTTCTTTTTATAATAATTAAAATAATATAATATTATTTTGTATGTATAAATTTTTTTAGGCTGGTTTTAGTAAACAAAATAATACTCCAGTATTTTATTATATTGCTCGTCGTTTTAAAGTAAATGAAATGAATTGTGATTTATTAATCTATCATGTATTATTAACATTAAAACCTTTTCAAGCAAAACCATTTGAATTAGTTGTTGATTTTACTCATACTTGTACTGATAATCGTTTTAAAACGGATTATTTATCAAAATGGTTTATTTGTATGCCTGATTGTTTTTATTATAATCTTCAAGCATGTTATATCTATAATTGTAANCAGATACTTTATTAGAATTAATGGAAGCTTGTATGAATGATATACCTGATTGTGAATGGTTAGCACAATGGCAAGAATTAGCTAAACGTTTTGCTTTTCAATTTAATCCTGCTTTACAACCGAGAGCTATGTAAGTCTTTTTAATTTAAGTGTGTTTTTTTTTCTTTAAACAACTTTTTCTTTAAAGTATTGTCTATGGTTGTATATCGAAAACAACAAGTGATGCTGAAATAAAAGCATTATTACGTATACTAGTTAAAGCTCTTGAATCATTTTCGGATATTGATTTAATTGATTCAATAATAATGTGTTTAACACGTTTATTACCATTATTATCACCAGAATCTAAAATACATAAATTTATGTTTTGGATTGCTTTATCAATTCTACAATTAGAAGAAACACAATTATATGCATCTGGTTTAGCATTACTTGAACAAAATCTTCATACACTTGATCATATGTTAAATTTATTTGAAAATACAAGTACACATCAACAACAAACTTTAGAAAGAATTATGATGGATGCTAGAGAACCACTAGAATGGCAATTTAAACAGTTAGATGCAAGTATGGGTTTATCATTTAAATCAAATTTTAATTTTGCACTTGTTGGACATCTTATTAAAGGTACTTTTTTTTTTAATTTTAAAATTTATTTTCAATTATTCATTGAATAGATATATATTCATTCTATTGTTTATTTATTTTAATATAAATAGAAAGATCATAAAGCATTGATGAAATAACTACAATAGTTGCAAAAAGTCCTGATAATAGATAAAAACTATTGAAAGTTTAATCATTCAGTCTCATAGTTTCATTACAAATAGAGAATATTGAACTCTAATCGCAAGAACCTCATCAGTCTTCGTGGGAGAGACTAGAAAGTCAATATGAATTTTTCTTCAGATAGAGATATCGTAACATAGAAAACAAATCTGATAATGTTAGATTTCTCGTTCAATAGCATAGTGCTGCTTCTATCACCAGTAAAGATTCTATGTCAAACTATTTTAGTTAGCCTAATTTATGAAATAATCTTCGGCTTATGGTAATCATTTTTCTTGAAAACTTCATGATTGTAGGCATGAATGGAGAAGAGACCTATACTGAGACCAACCTAGACCATGATGGCATGTCTACACCTCAAGATTACAGCAGATTGAAATATCCCACCTATGACAAAATATATAGACATGCGAGTCTTTATTTATTAATAAGAAATTATAGATTAACGCATTTAAATAATGAAAAAGCAGAAGTGTCAAAAAAGCATTTTTGAGCCTTAGGCAATAAAAACGGTTTTTATCGTAAGTCCTTTGGGTTAAGTCTTATCGACTTCAGATTTTTGCTTGCGATCAGGTTTTTCTGACTTCTATTTGTAGTCAAAATATCAGTTAATAGGATTGAAGTTTATGTATTTTTTACTAGGTAAAGGAACTTCTTGCATCTATTGTAATTCACATATACCAATAACAGAGATCGGCAGTTTCAGTTCGAGTTTGGAACTGAAAAATTGTGGCAAATTTTCTCTGATCTGTTTGAACAGTTCTTTCGCTAAATTGTTCTGCACTTTAAATTGGGAGCTGGTTGATTCTAATCAACATACAATGATATACTTGAAATAATATCGATTTATACAGAGAATATAAATATATTGACCGATTTGGATTAGGTCTTGATTGGAATATAAGCGATATGAAACACTTTCTGTATCATTATGAGATGTTAAATGAATTGATAAATCTGTATAATTTTTGTCTGAAATAAACAAATAAATTCGATTAATTAAATACTTTTGTTAAAAGAGAAAAAAAACTATTTATTGATCTGATCATCTGTTTTATTTCATGTATTTTTTGCAATGAAATATATCATAAAATGTTATTTGTTTACATATTTACTCAAATAAAAATTAATTAAGAAATTGTTAATCATTACTTTTCATATGATTATTGATTGTTAATACATATGAACAAACTAGTTTCGATTCTAATTTCATCTAAAAATTGAGAACGAAACAAAACAATTTGATCTTCCTCATGCATAATTGATTTATCAACAAGATGTATGTTATCGAATAAATCAATTTTAATATAGTCACAAGATGTTTCAAACTTATAGATAAGGATATAGAATCATTTTAAACTCGATTCTAACTAAATTTCTGCTTAGTTTGATACCATGTAGTTACAAGTGAATGTCTGGTTTGATTGGAACCAAATAAGACTAGTTTGTCTCATATGTAATTATTATCTAAATTTTTGAAAAGTTCCATCGATCCTCTATCAATATAACATTTACTATATAAAAACTTTCTTCATTATCGATTAACAATTGTTAATCTATTAGCACTATTTTTGATTCTGTTTATTGCACAAGCAGCTGTTGAAAAAGCAATAGTAAATACGAACAAGAAGATGTGCTTTATTAATATTTATAATTGTTTATGTTGCATAGAAAGAGAATGGAATGTTATTTTCTTTGTCTCTTATGATAATAGTTAAAAAAATAAAATAAAATAAAATAAAGAACAAAATTTAAAAAATATTATTTGAAAATTTTCAGGATTTCGTCATCCGGTTCAATCAACTGTTGTTCGTACAACTCGTGTTCTTTCAACTCTTCTTAGTATTGTTGCTAAATCCGAATCTCATGATAAATTTAAAGTAACACCAACATCAGTACCATATTTAGCTGCATTAGTTAGTGTTGTTGAAGAAGTTCGTAGTCGATGTCCAGTTAAACATCGACCTGTTATTGTTTCATCAACAACAAATACAAATTCAACAAATATTTTACCATTAAATTATTCTTCAATATCAACTGTTCATCCATTATCACATTTACCACAATCATATTCAACAACATCAATTGCTGATTTTGCTGGTTTAGGAGGAAATTCCTTATCATCATCATATATTTTAACAAATCAAACAACAAATTCAACATTACTTAATGTTCAACAAGGTTTATATCCTCGTCGACAAAAATCTTGGGATGCATCATATATTGAAAAAACACGAAAAATTGGTGGAGTATTAACTGTTAGCGGTACTCGATTATTATCTATACCATCACATGTACGTCATTGGCATTCATTTGATATCGAACATGCTGTACCACGTATACTTACAAAACCAGCTTCTACACTTGTACAATTACAACAAGTTAAACAAGTTGTACCAACTATTGCTGTCACACCACAAACTGCGCCTGAAACACAAACATCACAAGTATTTTTTTTTTAATTAAAATAAAAATGTAAAAATTTTCTGTTTTTTTTCTTTTAGATAAGTAGTGAAACAAATCATTTATTAGATCCTAATGTATTAATAGATACGTCAACACAAGCATTACTTTTAACAGTATTAGCAACACTTGTACGTAATACATCGGATGAAAATGAAATGAGAATTATATATGAATATTTATCGGAATCAAGTATTGTTTTTCCAAAAGTATTTCCCGTTATACATAATTTATTAGATGCAAAAATAAATTCAGTACTTTCATTATCACATGATGAATCAATATTAGCATCAGTACAATCGATAATATATCAAATGATAGCTTGTTCAGCTGGTGATGATGCAAGTCAACAACAACAACAACTTAGTTATTTACAATCATGTGGATTTGGTGGTTTATGGCGTTTTGCTGGACCATTTACTGTTTCAAGACAAAATCCTGATAATGTTGAATTATTTGTTAATTGTTTAGAAGCAATGGTTGAAACATGTTTACCATCATTAGATGAACATGAAGATGGTTCAGAAAGTGGAGTTAATAGTGGAAATGGTTTAACAGGAAATAATGGTACTAGACATGCATCTTTACATCATCATCGAACATTTCGACATCATCCTCATTATTATTCAGCTTCATCAGCAGCTGCTTGTCTTAATGCTAATTTATCTTCATCAATGTCTAGTATTTCAATAGGTGAGTTTTATATCATTTATTTCATAGGTTCAAAAATAATCTTTATGCAAAATTAGTTAAGAGTTTTCATCTTAGTTTTTTTTCTACTAGCAGATACGATTTTACATATAAATGAGACTTGTAGCAAGTAAAAGTTCATTCACGACTTAATCAATTAATATTAATCAATAGAAATTTTAGAGATGACTTTCGAACTATATAGTTAATTCAAATTCAAGAAAGATTCAATTTTTCGAGTGTAAGTCAAAAATGAGACCAACAATTCAGAAACGATTTTCCGGTACATTGTAAAAAAAGCGCAGAATAATAAACTCCTCATCAAATTTTTATAAGTCGTTTTAGGATTTATGCCGATTTCATAAACCTTTAAAGAGTTTATTATCTTCATCAGTGTACAAGATTTTATGAATCTGCAACGTATAATAATAATTTATTGAAGTCTTTATTGCACTGTTGTAAACCATAAAAAGGTTTATGAAAGCTCGATGAGGCTAATACACTGTTTTTGTATGATTTATGATTCTACGGTATTTTTTTACAGTGTAGTACATAATCACATTTGTACTATGCTGAAACGTCTTAATCAATGTTTGTCTTGTTGACTTGTTTGTATTATAAAAATGATTCTTTTGAAAAAGTTCATAGAAACACTATAAAGCGAGTCATATAAAAAAGAGACAAATATGTTTATTTTTATTACATTGATAATTGCTATTGGTATTTTATACATCGATAAGATTATTCTTTTAATAAAACGAAGAACAATTGTCTTATTATTTTTTCATATCACCTAAATTATCAAAAATCGATTGAAAAATCCATCATAATTTGTATTGATTCTAACTGGCCGATTTCATATTAGACGAGTTTTATTTTCATATAAAATCAATTATCTTTGTAATTTCTAAATAAAGAATTCATAAAATAAATAAATTACCTTTTAGATTCAATTCGTTCACCGACGGATCGTGAGGGTCAATTTTTCGATTTAAATGATCTTAATCGACCAGCACAATCTCAATCTCAAAATGGGAATTATACTAGATCTCGTATAACACAAAAACCAAATCTTATTTAAGCATTTATTATTATTTTTTGTCTTGTATGTTCTAGTCATTATTATATATGTTGTACATTCTTTTGAAAAAAAAAAACGTATTTTTATAATATTTATTCTCTTTATTGTTATTTCTCAATGTAGTCTTTTAAATGTTTATTGAAATAATAAATATATTTTTTAAATTTGGTCATATCAAATTGAAATTAACAGTCAATTGGTAGAGAAAATATTTGGTCTTAGAAGAGAAAAATATTTAAATCAATGTTTTCTTTTATGAACAAGAATACATGGAAAAGTGAGATATCACTTTCCTTTGGTTTTAGTAAGATTACTTTTATATCTATGATTGCATACGCATATTGATGCTACTTCTCTTTTACAGTTTATTTTAATGACAACTCAACGTATTTTTTCTATTCTCTTGGCCTTCCTGTCATGCAAAAAAGATGACGAGCGCAGAAAAAGAAAAATAATGTTTCTTTTTTTTGTCGAGATAGAAAGGGAGAATTTTTCTTTAGTATAAATCTATCTAATAAGAAAAGAAAAAAAAAATTTTAATTTAAGTAATGATGCATCGTTTTTTGTATTTATTTGCAAGAAAAAAACTATTTTTATGGATCCTGTATTTCATTTTAACCATTTTATTTGTTTCATTTAGTTATAAAAGAGGTAATAGATAAGATGAGCTTACTTAACATTGAATAGATTTTATTTATAAAATAGCTCATCAATTATATCGAACTTCATTTATTGCTCAATCATCATTTTCTACACGTTTATCAAATATTCATCAAGGACCTAATATTTCATTACTAAATGTATCATTTGGTTATAAAGATCGAAACCAATGTTTTGATAACAGTACACCCTCACGTCAAACTCTTTCAAAAATAACTCGTCAAAATAAACTAATAAATTATCTTGGTTTTGTTCTTCGATCTCATTCATTATTTTATTGTTCGGTTCCAAAAGTAGCTACACGAACTTTACTTAAATTTATTACTTATCTTCATATACGTGATGATTTAATTCCGTTACTCAAAGATCTTTCAACATTTAATAATAGTATAAATTCTATAAGTAATTTAAATATTTTTAATATTGCTTATTTCAATCAAATGCTTTCGTCTTCAACTAGGGTAAAAATAATAATATAAAGTTTTTTTGGCCTTCTGAAAGAATTGCAAATGGTCTTGTTTTTATTTACTTTTTTTCATTGAAAAATGTAAAAGCCTTAAAAGTGAACAATAGAAGAATAAACAAGAATCATGATTTTTCTTTCTGATAATCTCATCTTATTTGACTGTGTAGTTTTAGTACAAAATGTTATGATACTTTAATAGAAAACAACACCAATCTAAAAATAATTCAAATTAACTTTTCTCATTATGATCTATTCATATAAAAATTCGTATTTCTATGAATAAATTCTAATTGTAATAATACCCCCATTGAAAAATACAAAGAATTTATTGTCTATGTGAAAAATGTTTCATAGCAACAAGACAAATAAAACAATTTATTTTGTTCTATTGAGAATGTATTTCTAGAAATATTATCGTTTATTTAACTGTATATTGAAAAAAACGATTTTAATTACGTTTTATTTATTAATAATGAGTCAGATTGTACTAGTTTGATAATTATCTCTTGAGAAGTTTTGCTTATTTTTAAGTTTAATAAACAGAAGAGAATTGATTTTTATTTTATCTAGAAAATTTTAGAATAATTCTCCTCTACCCACACACAATTCAATTTCAATTCTTGAATCGTTTCTATCGCGTATTATGGGATTTAATAATACAAATTCAACAAGAGTTGATTTATGGTCAATGTATCAAAGAGAAAATCTTCCTTTTATCCGTCTTCGTACTTTATTGGATCCATTCATACTTTTTTCATCAAATTTTACTCGTGTAATTTTCGTTCGTCATCCATTCGAACGTTTAGCATCAGCTTATGTTGATAAAATAGCTTCGCTTAAAAATGAACCATTTTCATTATATGATAGTTATCGTCGAGCAATTTGTCGAAAATATTCTTCATTTTATTTAACAAAAGCTCAAAAAAGATTTTATCGTATTTATAAACGAATATCAAAGAAAATGAAAGAACCTTGCGGAAAAATAACGCCAACATTTGAACATTTTATTCATTATTTTATGTCTGATTCATTACAAGACGATGTTCATTGGCAACCTTATTCAAAATTATGTCATGTTTGTTTATTTAAATATAATTTTATTGGAAAATATGAAACAATGAAAGAAGATCTTCAACGATTGAAATCATATCTTGGATTAGAATCAATCAATTTAAATGATGCAAAGTATTTTACGACGGGAAAAACAAAAGAATATTATAAATCATTGTATACAAATTTACCTAATGAGTTAATTTGTAATTTGAAATATTTTTATGAAGATGATTTTAAATTATTTGATTACCGATTAGAAGATTATTTGGCTGATCAAACAATTATTCAATGCTCTTCTTCACATAAGCGAGCTTTAAAAAAAAGACCTAGAAATTAATATTTTCTGTTAACTCATTTTTACTATATTCTAGTTTTTCAAATTCTTGGGGAATATATGATCATTTTTTTCTTTGTGTTTGGAATTATTCGTTATCTTGTTCATATCTAAACTTAAAAGTCTCGAAATAAAGTTTTTTTCAGAAACATTATAGAATCGTTGTCAGAAAAAGGATCAGGTGAATGAATGAATAAGATTGTATATTTGACCGATCGGAGTCGAAAACTTAAGAAACAAGTATAATCACGACAGTCAACATATTAGAAAATGTTGCGAGTTTTTCACAAATAGAAAATCTTTTCTTTTTAGTAAAATCCTTAAAAAAAGTTGATTTCGTTTGGAAAAAAATTAAAGTTTTTCATGATTGAGAAACGAAGGATTGCATGTTCGACAGGCTCTTTTTTGCGTGTAATCTTTCTCATCAAATAGTCAATGTTTATCAAACTATGGATATTTATCTGAATTTGACCATATATAAGTTAGAGTTATTGAATCGATCTGTAGAAAAAAATAATCAACATTTTCTTTTCTGCTATTCTATTTTAATATTAAATTTGCACAAATTTTAAAATGAGATTCATGTAGAAATAGTCAACAGTAAAATGAACATTGAAATCAATAAATAAATTCTTCGACACATTAAAAGACTTCTCTATGAGAATCGAATATTCAAAAATAACTTCCGCAGCTTACTGATTATTTTTAGTATTTATGTTCATAATAATATGTATGTTCAATATGAATAATACAGAGGTCGCAGCGGAGCTACCAGAAAGAAGGATTTTGAGAAGGAATTTTTGAAAAAAAGGAACTCGGAGAAAACAAAGTAAATTTTTCAAATGTACTGTCGTGCAATAAAAATAGATCAAGTGAAGATTGAACAGAACACGCACTAACATAATTGAATTTTAGATTATAGTTTTGCTTTAAGTAAAAGCAGCCAATGGGTCTAATAATAATACTCTAAGAAAAAATTCAAACTGATTCAACTATACGATGGCTTGATTGCTGGTACATCTGAGACACGATTTTTTAGTAAAATCACAACATCACTTGTGTATATTGTTGTTACTGTATTTCTATATGAGAAAAGATTGCTCTGCAGTAAGTTTGATGGAAGAAGTGCCAATGTCAGAAGATTGTCGTTTTAATTTGACTTCTGCAAGCCACAAGTTCTCTCTCACCCGCAGAACACATACTTATATAGGAGAGAGAAAGCATAGGCATGAAACAGATCATATTGATCATGGAGTATGAGAGAGAGAGATCCGATATAAAAGAGAATAATGATAAAAGATATAAACAAGTAATCAAACGGAAATAGAACGGTACTTTTCGTTACATTCTTTCTTTAAAGCGATCAAATTAATATGCTATTAAGATAAGACGTTCCAGTCTGCTGATAAATGAGAAGAAATGCTCATCATTACATATATACGTGATTCAATTACGCTCTTCATAAAGTGTAGATGAGAATGTATGCTTCGTAAAAATAGTACAAAATGTTCAATACATTTGATAAAAACACGAAAACGACATGAGATGCCCAAAGACAAAACTTTCTCATCGAAATGACTACAAAAGACTGACTCAATGGCTAAATCATGCTTCATTTGGCTACGTCAGGTAAAGAAAAGAGTACCTTCATATGTACTATATGTAATATCGGATTCAGCTATGCCTACAGAGATTGGAGTAACGTGAAAAATCATTCAGAACGGCCTAAACATCTACAATGTCTCAAAGACGTTTTGGAATCGAGTCAACTCGCTGCTTCTAGCATAAAATTATCGTCTACGAGTAGCAGCACTACTGAAAAATAACTTTCTTATGCTTTTTCGTCAACAATAACAAATAATCCACCCTTCCAGGCACTCAGCAACGATACAGATCAAGCGTTGACGCATAATGAAAAGGTTACTTGCGTCGAGCGTTATTGAGTCATGGCAATAGCACAACTTGGCTTTAGTTATACTGTATCACAGAATATTTCTGAACTATGTGCATCAATGTTTCCTAATAGCAAAGTGAATGCCGATTATGCCATGAAAGATTCCAAGCTTTCGTATGTGCTGCCACATAGAGCTGGCTATTTTTTGTGTGTGCACTGGTCAAAGATGTACTTAAAGCTCCATCCTACTCGTTTCTTTTCGATGAAACTACTAATGCTGGAGTACAACAGCAGTTGAACTTGCATTATTCGACACTGGAGTGAATTTAAGCAGGAAATTGTAGCACAATATTGGAAGAGTATTATGTTTGGGGATGCGACAGCACATACTATCGGCCATCATTTACTCGATTCATTGAAATCTGATGGGATTGACTTGTCCAAGCTTCTTCAATTGGCTGGGTTAATCTTTCTTTGATATACCCTAGACTCATTTTTGTTGTTACAGATAGGGACAATCCTAATGTCAACAAAGTGGTTGAGAACATGATGGAGAAGGAAGTGCGATCTGAGCGAGAGAAAGTAAGCTTTTGGAGGCAGAGACAAGTGATCGCGCGTTGCATCGAAGTAGGTCCAGTTATCGAACGGATAATCGAGCAACAGCCGAATTGGTGAAGCCATATGCAACGAACTTAAAGAAATGTGAACAAATGACAAAACCACCTTTCTCAAAGATGCTCGTGGTATTTACACAATAATTACTGTAAATATCCATCTATAACTTACTGAAATCAAAATGAATAAGGTCTTTCGATTTGAAATTCCTGGGTAGAATGAAGAATAAATGACTTTATCTTCTATAATCGAGTACATTCTTTGACACTGAACATGGATCAAAAAAACTCTACGAAATCGACCAAACGGAGTCAGCTATCAAGAGGATAAAATCAGTGAGAGAGAATGACAAAGTACAAAAATGGCTCCATGCACAGGACACAACATCTTGAATCGAAAGCGTTTTGTAACATTTGTCCTCTACTCATGTTTACAGAAGAAGAAAATTTACTTCGTTTTTTTCTTAAAAACCGTTAAATCTGTTTATGATTAGGAATTCAGATTATTCGATTTTCTTTCTTTCATTATTCTAGTGAGAGCTAACGCGTACATTGCCGTTGACCAAGGAATTCTTATGGAACCTTCAGCTCATTGATTCACTCCTATGGTATCAAGAGTCTTACCGCAACAGCCTGATGCTTGTCGTACGTGGCCTGCCTCAACTGCTATCCGATGATAATCTTGATGATTTGAATATCGAATAGCGTGTGTACGAAAACAAAACTATTCCAGATATGTGGTACCAACAAAAAAACAGCACTGATGATTATCATGAAGTCGTCAAGTATTATCCTGTTGATCATTATTAGAAAAATGTCTTTATCATCAAGAACAGTTAGGGTGTTGCCAAATTCGTCGTTTTATCGAAACTCATCAAGAGCCTTCTATTACTATGACACGGCAACGTCGACGTCGAACATGGCTTTAGTAAAAATACAGCCCTTGTCACTGATGACCAATCATCTTTAAGTGACACCTCGACCAACGGACTTCGGGCGATAAAAGACTCTGTCAATTTCTACGCAGAAGGAAAGGTTCATGAAGTAAGTGATATTCAGCAACAACTAATTGTTATCAATGTGACTGGTGCTTTATAGATTTCAATTTTCAAAAGACTTCTGAACAGTGTTAATGAAGCACACTCTCGATATCAAACCTACGAAGAAAACATACAACGACTACTTAAACAAAAGGAAGGAGTGGAAGCAACTGCAAAATTATGCAAAAGCAAAAAACTACTTCTAGTCGAAAAAGAACAGAACAGAAATTGATCGATAAATGCAAGATCTTACAGCACGAACTAGGCAATGCGTTCAAAATGCTCGATGAAGACAACTCGTATCTTGAAGCTGCCGGTGCAACGAAAAACTTTGATAATATCGAAGTGGCGCAACTACTCATTGAAGATGCCAACAAGAAATTGGACATTTTGAGAACACAACTCATCAATAATGGTGATCAAATGAATCAACTGAGAAAAAATTTAAAAAATGAATGAAAGAATGATACAAAAAGATGATAAAATATGTAAACTTGTAAATAAAGAATGAATCATAAACGAACTTTCTAGAAGAGCGACTGTTTCAATATGTGTTCTTTCTGACATATTCACAACGTTTCTGCCAAGTGTTGTATCGCTGTTGTGCAATGTATATGCGGTCTTTTTGCATGACAAGGAGAAAAGAAGGACGAACAACGACGCTCTTAAAAAAGAAAGACAAAAGAAGGAAATCAGAACTGTTACGCCGCCTGATAATAGTTTCCTTCCGTCGTCATAGCGAGGTGTCCGTTCCGAATTAGAAAATTCGTGAAAAACAGCTAATAGGAAAGAACAGTCTATTGAAAAATCCGTTTCTTTATTGAAATGAAATTATGAGGTTATCTCAGTGTTGTTTTTCAGCATAATCTTTGAAGAAGTTCTTTAGGCTCTCTATGCGAAAAAACTGGTCTCATTGTTATAGGATCTAGTTGGCGCAGTGAATATTTTCACAGATCACACAAGAAAGGATTTTTCTAAAATATGAACATATTCGGCAGAATCCTGTTGTGTATTAATTAAAAGATCTCTTCCCCTTAGTACTTTCTAGTAGAAATTCGAAAACGTTTTTATCACAAAGTAATTCATGCGTAATTGAAGAAAACATATCTTCAGATGTACATGTCGACGCTTTTTCTATGAAGTATTCATTTTGAGTCCGACAATGTACTTTTTTCTGAAAAGGATCTAAAAGCATTTTTCAAAACACAAAAAACACAATGCAAGTGTGCTCAATTGTGATTTTTCTTTAAACTGCTTCTTCACAGACAGCCACACTCATTGAAGTTAGATTGGGACTAATAACTATACTAATGGTACATTTCACTGTGAACGAATAATATCTGACCTCAACACAAGCAACTAAATTAAACAAGTTCGACAAAAAAAATTAATTTTCTTTCTTTAAGTTGTTCAGATATTGAAAAAGTTCAATATTGCCAATAACAGATCTTATTC